TTACCATCCTTCGCTCTAGAAACTTAAGGATCACTCCCTCTTGCTCATTATACTTTCTATTTTTAAAGAATCATCTTATTTATTTACTTACTTATTTTTTAATTTGACCAGAGAGGGACAGAGCGAGAGTGAGACAAAGTGAGAAAGCAAGCCACCAGGTCCAGGACTTGAACCACAGACGGTAATGTTGGAGTCCAGCACCCTTAACCACCACATCACCTGCTGGCCTTGCTCATTAATTTTCCAAAGTAATATTTGTGAACTGGCACTTAGGAAGTATTCTTTCACTCTAGCTAATGAGCCATCTAAATAATCTTTGCTGTTCTGATTTCATGATTTAGTGTTCTTTATTCTTCCTGTGTAACTCAAAGGCTCCGCAGTCCCTCTTGATGATAATAAGTAAACCTATGAGGAAATTACTATGGTATGTACTGGGAACTATTGTGAGTATGTTATATAGTTGCTTACTTAATGTCACAGGAACATTATAAGGGAGAGTCCCAGCTGATTCACAGTTATGTAAACTGAGACTCAGAGAGGTAAGGGAACTTATTTGAAGAATTAAAGCTAGTCAGTGGTAAGATCCAATATACTCTGACTCCAAATCCAAAGATGATGTCCCTATGCTAATTCTCTACTACTGCCACACTGAAGAGCAGGCAGAGGAGTGCTAGAACTCAGGTTTGTTTTCTGTCTCTTATGACAACACTAGAAAGAAATCTCTATTCCTTCTCTGCTTGTTTTCTTTTTCTAAATATACTTGGATATAGTAGAATCAAAATTTCTGCTATGGAAAAGCACATTCAAATAAATCCACACACAACACTGAACATTGTATAATAAAAAATCAAAGTTGCATGTAAATAAAATTAACAGGTAGTCACTGATAACTACTATGTTCTAGGTTCTTGAGACAAATCAGTGAACAAAACAGATAAGAAGTTTTGCCTTAGAGGATTCTAATATAGAAACAATATAAAAATAAGTAGATAAGAAAGTAAAAGCTGAGTTAAAAGAAAATATATATAGATCATACAGGGGTACAGGGGACTGGCTATACCTAAAGAACAAGCAAACTGCAGTATCAAATGAGGTAAAGTGAGCTGTTGAGATGTAAATCTGAGTTGATGAGAAGTAAATCTGAACAAATACTTAAAAGTTGGTGACAGAGCCAGCAAGTGGTGTAAAGGTTAAGGGGCTGGACCCATATGGCCAACAGCAAGGTTCAAGTCTTAGAATGGGTGGCTTGAAAATCATGCCGGGTGTGCGCATGTGGTTGTGTGCATGCCCAAATTCCCAAGAGGAGAATGGAGGAGAAAGGACTCACCGCATGGCCAATCCCCCTTGGATATGATTTCTCACTCCCCCCACCCCCATCTCTGTCTCTCTCCCTATGGCAAAAACTAAAAAAACAGTTGGTAAGGACCTGCAGGAGATGAGTATTGGCAAGTAGGATCCAGGAGAAAGTATTCCAGGCAGAAGGAAATGTTAGTAGTAAAGTACCTAAGAGTATGGTTAGAACAGCAAGCAATCAAGAGGAAAAGAGGAATTTATCATGTCATAGGCTACAGATCAGGAAGGGTCTTATAAACTACCATAAAAATTACTAGATTTTACTGAGTAAAACGGAGAGTTAGAAGGTTTGAAACAGAAAATAGATATGATCTGACTTTAGTCTGCTATGTTTTGAACGGACCGTAAGGTAGCAGAAATACAGTGAGATGAGTAAAGAAGCTACTACAATAATCTAGGTGAACATAATGATTCAGATGAGAGTTAACATAATCTAGGCAGTAAAAAGTGGTTAGATTCCAGTATGGGTTTTTTTTTTGATGTTTCTTTTTTGTTTATTTTTATTTTTTATTATCATCATAATCTTCTTTATATTACATTGGATTACATATAACTTTACAGTGTATTACATTGCTTTTTAGATTCCAGTATGTTTTGAAAAAAATGGGATTTCCTGAAAGAGAGGATATGGAGTATACGAAATAAAAGGATAAAATACTTGGCCTTACTGACTATCAGAAAATGCTGAGAGTAAAGACATGTAGGTACGGCATTTTGGGGTGGGGATGAGATATTTAAACCTTTTTAGACAAATTAAACTTGAGATCACCTGAAAGCTAAATGAAGGTGCGGCATTTAAAGACAAGAGAGTGATTGTATCAAATGCTATTGACAGATTAAGTAAAATGAAGATGGAGATCAGCAATTTAGGTAGTTTGTGATCTTCATTACTTCCATGGTTTTGTTATAAAGGAAAGCAAAAAAGAGGAAAGTATGTGATGTGGCAACTGGTGAACAAGGAAAGCTAGAACAAAACAGGTATTTCATCTTCTGCTCTTGAAAGGAAAGACAGAGCATACACGTTTGACTTTGAACGAGTTAACTGCCACATTAAACAAACAAACAAACAATGGGTATTCTTCAGAATCTATAGTCTCTAGACTTAAAATGTTTAAAATAGAATCCAAAATTACAAACCAGATAGCAAAAGTAAACTGAGATCCAAACAAGAGAATTAGCATTCAAGAATTTCTAAAGTAGCTATACTGAAATAATGCTCAAGGATGAGAAAGAAAATCTGCTCAAAATAATGAAATAGGAAACATCAGAAGAAAATAGAAACACATAAAGAACCACACAGACATTCTAGAAACAGAAAATACAAGTTCTAAATTTTTTTTACTAATTCATTGACAGGGCCAGCCAGTGGTATGGTAGTTAAGGCAGTTGGAGTCTACATAGCCAACTGCACAGTTGAAGTCCCAGACCTGAAAATCTGAAGACCACACTGGACATGTGGGCATGTGTGCTCGAAATTCCAACAGGAGGGAGAGATGAAGAGACTGCAGTGTGACTATCCCTGATGAGAGGCTGCTTTCTCACTCCTCCCTAAACCCTCTCTCCATTTCTGATGAGAGCACACACACTCCAGCAAAAAAAACAAATTGTTTATTTATTTCATTTCATTTCATTTATTTATTTATTTTTTGGGGAGAGGTTTTTGCTATAGGGCACGTGCGTTTGCCAGAAAGACAGAGAGACAGAAAGCAAGAAATCACCCCGCAGGGGGGATGGCCACGCCGCAATCCCTTCTCCTCTCGGGATCATGGGCACACACGCACACGCACCCGGCGTGAGTTTAAGCCGCCGGGTCCGGGACTGGAACCACGGTTGACTACGTGGGAGTCCAGCGACATAACCATTACGCTAACTGCTGGCCCCAATTAATTAATTAAAAAAAATCATGGAGTAGCCTAACAGCAGAATGAATATGACAAAGGAAAGTGAACTTTAACACGTTAATAGAAAACATTCCATTTAAAGAAAGCTCAGAAAAAAATGCTTAACAAAATATATATAAACTCAGAGATTTGTGAGATAATTCTAGAAGATCTAAAATATGCTTAACTGAAGAGAATGGATAGTTGGGAAAAAAGCAGAAGAAATAATGGGTCAATTCCACAAATTTGGTTTAAAAAATCCAAAATTTCATCAAATACTAAGAAGGAAAAATAGAAAATTTTATGTAGGCACAACATAGTTCAAATGTCTAATAAATAAATAAATAAATCTTAAAAGTAGCCACAGAAAAATAAATAACATTATACACAGAACAATATAAATAAGTCAATGTTCACCTCCCATCAGAAAGTAATGCAGGCAAGGGCCAGCAGGTGGCATGGTGGTTAGGGGTGCTGGACTACCACATGGCCTACCATAGTTGGCATCTTGGACCTGGCACCTTGCTTTTTCACTTTCTCTCTCACTCTGCCCCTCTCTACTCAAATTAAAATAAATAAATAAACAAAATTCAATAAAATAATTCCTTTTTTAAAAGAATTACTTATTTGACTTTCTTTATTTCTTCTTTTATTTTAATTTGACCAGAGAGAAACACAGAGAGAGAGAGAAAGACAATGAGAAAGCAAGCTACCAGGTTAGGACTCCAACCGCACTGGGCCATGTGGGAGTATCCAGCGCCTTAACCACCACACCACCTGATGGTCCCAATAAAATAACTGTGGGGCCTACTCTGTGATCTCAGGGGTTAATGGAGCTGGATTCCACATGGCCCACTGTGAAGACTGAATCCTGGCCCCAGCAGGTTGAAAAACATGCCAGGTACATACATGTCCAAAATCCTGACAAGATGGAGTGAAGAAGGGACTGTGGCCTGAGCACATCCCACTAGGGAATGCTTTCTCCCTCTCCTCTATCTGTCCCTGTTGCTCTATGGTGAGGCACATGCACAATGTGATAAAATAAGAGAGGAAAAAAAAAAAAGAAAAGCAGCAGATTATGGGAAGAATTCTTTAGAGTGCTGAAGAAGAAAACCAAACACCCTAGAAATCCTACATCCAGTGAAACTAGACTACGAGAATGAAAGTGAAATAAAGACATTTTCAGATAAAGAAGTCTAAGAGAATATGTCTTTAGCAGATCTGCACTAAAATAAATGCTGAAAGTAATTCTTTAGGCTGAAATTAAGTGAGACCAAATGGAATCTTAGAAATTTAAGAAAAAATAAAGAGCAACAAAACTTATAAATAGGGGGTAAATTTTGAAAGGACAAATTTTCCTCTTAACTTATTTAAGATACCCATGACTGTTTTAAGAACTAATTGATAGCTTAGTTGATGACTGGAATCGGTGTCATGGGACCAGCAGTCAGTGTAATGGCTATGTCGCTGAACTCCCATGTAGTCGACCGTGGTTCACGTCCCGGACCCAGTGGCTTAAAACTCACGCCGGGCGCGTGTACATGTGTGCCCAAGATCCTGAGAGAAGAATGGAGGAGAAGGGATTGCGGCGTGGCCATCCCCCTTGGGGGGTGATTTCTCGCTTTCTGTCTCTCTGTCTCTCTGGCGAGCGCATGCGCCCTATTGCAAAAACCTCTCCAAAAAAAAAAAAAAAGAAATCAGTGTCAGAAGTGATTCTTTTCCTTTCCTTTTCCCTCTACTCCCCATATTCATAGAAAAGTAGCATACCTGCTTTAGTTTCAAAAAGAAATTTTCAGTAGTGCTGCGTTTACTGAAAGGCCAGAATAATCTTTCATTTGGTGAGCAAACACGAACTTTTGTCTCTAGGAGAAAGCGAACAGGCTCCTGTACTTCTGTTATTACCAAATCAACAGCTGTGGTCATAAACAGCACTTTATCTAGAGAGAGAAAAAGAAAAGGAAAAATAGATTAAAAACATGGAGATATATTTTCCAAATGATTAATGTAAAAATGATTATTTTTTAACAAATTTTCAAGATATCAAAGGTAAAGCTTTAATAAACAAAAATAATCAGACCACTGCTTTGAACACACTTTTTATTAAAAATTATTTTCTTAGGTAGACTTCTACAAGTGGAATTACACAGTAACAGTAGTATACACTTGCTTAAGAAATGTACTATTATTTTGCAAAAGTAAATTACTTCTTTATGCCACCACTTTGTGACACTAGAACTTCTCAATTTTAAACTTGTTCAATTGTTACAACATATTTTTTGTACTCTTTATATGTCCTACCTATTTATCTATAGTGTTGTTAGTAATGACAAAAAAAAAAAAAAAAAAAGGAAAAAATAATGGCTAAGAGAAGCACTTAAGAGTATTAAGCAAATAAGATTACATACTCAGGATGGAATATTACATCTAAATGTCATTTGGAAAGCAATAAAAAATATATAAATGTCACTTAGGAAGAGTGTGAAATATCTTGAAAAAAGTTGTCTATGCAGAGAATATCTGAAAACACAAGAAAACTGTTAACAGCAATTCCCCTTGGGAAGGAGCCTTGGGGACTATGGTAGACTCATGTTTCCCTATAAATTCACTGAATTTTTAAACAATGGGTCTTCAAAAAGCTCTTGGGAAAAATGCTTATTATGAAAAAACTATGCATAGATTTCAAATTTTTCTGCACCAAAATAATCTCGGTTTAATTCCATTTTCCCACAAACTTTTTTTTCTTCTTAAATAGAGATTTTTACCAGGCTGGCAGGTAATGTGGTGCTTAAGGGCACTGAACTCCCACATAGCTGACTGTGGTTTGATATGCTGTAATGATGTACAGAAAAAGAAAAAAAAAAAAAAAAAAGGAAAAAATAATGCTAAGAGAAGCACTTAAGAGTATTAAGCAAATAAGATTACATACTCAGGATGGAATATTACATCTAAATGTCATTTGGAAAGCAATAAAAAATATATAAATGTCACTTAGGAAGAGTGTGAAATATCTTGAAAAAAGTTGTCTATGCAGAGAATATCTGAAAACACAAGAAAACTGTTAACAGCAATTCCCCTTGGGAAGGAGCCTTGGGGACTATGGTAGACTCATGTTTCCCTATAAATTCACTGAATTTTTAAACAATGGGTCTTCAAAAAGCTCTTGGGAAAAATGCTTATTATGAAAAAACTATGCATAGATTTCAAATTTTTCTGCACCAAAATAATCTCGGTTTAATTCCATTTTCCCACAAACTTTTTTTTCTTCTTAAATAGAGATTTTTACCAGGCTGGCAGGTAATGTGGTGCTTAAGGGCACTGAACTCCCACATAGCTGACTGTGGTTTGAGTCCAGGAACTGGCGGCTTGCTTTCTCACTTTCTCTCTCTCTCTTTCTCTCTCTCTCTCCTTCTCTCTGTCATTCTGTTCCTCTCTGGTCAAATTAAAATAAATAAATTTTAAAAATAAAGTTAAACAAATAATTCTTTAAAAAAAGGGAGATTTTTTTTTTTTTTTTTTTTTTGCTAGAGGGTACATGCTCTCACCAGAGAGAGAGAGGGACAGAAAGCAAGAAATCATCCCCTGGGGGGATGGCCATGCTGTAATCTCTTCTCCATTTTCCTCTCAGGATTTTGGGCACACATGCACATGTGCCCGGTGTGATTTTCAGCCCATCAGCTACAGGACTTGAACCATGGTCAGCCATGTGGGAGTCCAGCAATATAACCATTACGTTATCTGCTGGTCTCTCCATAAACTGTTTTGACGTCTCTTTATTTGTGCATAGATTTTCCTCAATACACGTCCATAAGAAAATAGTTTTGTTTTTTTTTTAATAGACCACAGATTATTTTTAACACCTTTCATGCCATGAATTCATAGGGAATAGGTTCCAGAAGCTTAGGCTTCTTTCCACTGGTTCTCGCAAAGTGTGCTTCTCTGGGTGGAGCAGGCTGGCGCTTCAGTTGAACCCAGGTACTTTTCTCTTTGGCTTCCTTTCTTTTTTTCTGGTCATTTTCCTTCACACGTTTTAGGAAGCTATCTCTGCTCTTAGAATGATTAATATGCTCAAAACGCACATTAATTCTCTCGGCAAGACTCTTGCCCTTAACTTGTTTGTTTACAACAATGCCAACAGCATGCTAGGTAATACTGTAGACTCTTCCAGTTTTGCCATGGTAACATTTGTGGAGCATTCCTTTTTGAACAGTACCCATTCCTTGATGTCTACAATATCACCTTTCCTGTAGATTTGCATGTATGCTGCCAAAGGAACCACTCCATGTTTTCTAAAAGGCCTAGAGAACATATATCAGGTGCCTCTCCTCAGGGAACATATATCAGGTGCTTCACCTCCTTCCCTTTGTGTTCGTCATTTTGGTTAATTACTGAAAGATGGAGGTTTTGGCAAAAAGTGAAAGTGGGAAAGGGAAAGTGAAAGCGGGAAAGTTTTTTAAAAATAAAAGTGGGAAAGGGAAAATATGAAGACAAGGGAAGGAAGGAAAAATAAGTGGGCAAAAATAATACTTGTCTCTAAGCCAAGTTTAATAATAAGTTAAAAAACCATTCAAATTCTTCAGTTTCACCAGAATTATGTAAACACTTGATACTGGTCAAGCAAGTGGTCATAAGGTTAGATTATCTCTTTGAGACTAAAATTTCTGTTCATGTCAGCAATCTGTATCACCTTTAGGAGTTTCTTCATTTACAACTTGAAAATGTGGGGATTTCGGATTCCAGCTTCCAGTAATAACATAGGATTTGCCATCTGAACTTTTGCCCATAGATTCCTAAAGAAAAGAGTAAAAATAAACCTTAATGCCAAAGTGAGTGAACAAATGCCAACCCCTATATTGCTGTCTTTAAAAACTGGGAATTGCAAAAATATACAAATATGTTTGGTTTTCCAAGAAGTCATGATGCATTTTTGCATAGAAAAACATAGAAAAAAAATGTCATGGCTTTTCTGACAGCTCAGAAAGATAATTATATTTTCTTCTTTAAAGATAGGAGTATATGTGAATGACCAGTTAAGATTAAAGACGTGCCAATATTTGTGCAATTGTTCCTGAAAAGTTATATATATAATAAATGCTTCAAAGTCATGTCAAACTATAAACAGTAGAGAAATTTGCTACTTATTAATAAATCTGATATTGAATTCTTCTGTCAAGTGAATCATCACTGCATAATATTTAGTTTTGAAACTAAAGATGTTCATGAAGTAGTAATACTAATAACTACTATTATTTGTAAAGCACTATGACAATTTACAAAGAATTCTCTGATAAATTTTCTCTTTGGATTCTTACATTAATCATTAATAGAAAAACAAGACTTACTATCACAGTTACACTGATGAGAAACTGAGGCTGAGATACTTATCCAAGGTCAGACTTATAAATAACAAGTTAGACATAAGGAAACTCTCTTATTTTTATATGCCATTTTATACATTAGAAGAATACCTTCGTAAACACATTTTAATATCAGATTCAGATAAGATAGTGTGAAACAACATTTTCTAGGGAAATAGTTTATAATCTATATTTTTTTTAATAAAAAAAATCTTACCAAATCTAACAAGTGCATGTCACTATTTCGTACATCTTTTCCTGGGCTAAGGAGAAGACCGAAGCACCTGTGAAAAAGAACTGACATAAATTTGGGAGAAAGGATAACAAATAAACAATGTTTAAATTAGGTCACTTAAAAAAATTCTTTTCTGATGGAAAAAAAAAGGACACACAAAAATTATCAATAAATTAGTGTTATCAAACTACAATCCTTACTTTAATTGGGATAAGCAAATTTTGCTTACCTTTTATAGCCACATAGCTGAAGTCTGCAAATTAGCTAAAGATTTATATGAGTTATTTCAAAGTAATGAATCATTCGCTTCAATGAGCAAAAGAATTCCCCAAGGGATAAAATGCAAATATATTTCTGAATACAGTATATGACTACTGTATTAGACTTATAAAACCAAAACATAAGACAAACTTACTATAAAAGCTTACCTTTCAATGGCAAGTTCTTTATTAGTTGTTTGTTGCACATAGATGACAATCTTCTTATCAATTCCTTGGCGCAGTTTAAAGCACTGTCTGTCCTTATCTTTGGGAACTGCACTGTTGACCAACATATTTCATTAATTCTAAAAATTAATTTTATAAATTTTGTAAATTTTAAAATTATTTTGTCACATACTAAAATGATTTTTTAAAACAAACATCTCAAATTGTTGATTCTTTTCTGTCACTGTTTTTCAAACAATAAAAAAGAAAAAAATCATTACTATCTCTTGATGTAAAAATATTATCATCAGGTGCAGAAAATCCACGGAAGCATTTATAAAAGCCGGAAAACTCATCACTATGCCACCCTAAAATGTGGCTTTAGTTTTCTCTCTTATTGTTGTGATAATAAAATTTAACATTTATAAGGCATCAAACACCACACATAAAGGATCCAAAAAATGTTTCTTTCCTTTACATATTGGTCACTGGACTTTACAAATAAAATGACTGGACCAGCAGATGATGCAATGATTATATCAATGGACTTTCACGTAATTGACCATGGTTCGAGTCCCCCACCTGGAGGTTTCAAACTCATGGCGGGCAAGTATGTGCACATGCCTAAAATCCCAAGAGGAGAAAGGATTGCAGTGCGGCCATCTCCCAAGGGTGGGGGGTGATTTCTCTCACTTTCTGTCTTTCTCTATCTCTCTGGTGAGCACATGTGTCCTTATAGCAAAAACCTCTCTTTAAAAAGAAAAGAACAAGGGACCAGCAGTTTGCATAATGGCTATGTCACTGGACTTCCATGTAGTCAACGGCAGTTCGAGTCTCGGACCTGGTGGCTTAAACTCATGCTGGGCAGGTGTGCACGAATGCCCAAGATCCCGAGAGGAGAACGGAGGAGAAGGGATTGCGGCGTGGCCATCCCAGCTGGGGGGTGATTTCTCACTTTCTGTGTCTCTGTCTCTGTCTGTCTGGCGAGCGCATGCGCCCTATAGCAAA